CTTTTTAATATGCTATCTAGGTTTGCCATAGCTTTCCTCCCAAGGAGCAAGCATCTTTTAACTTCATGGCTGCAGTCTCCGTCAGAATTAAGAATTCTGCTTAAAGGAGACTTGAAAAGGACTCCTTTTGCGATCCTGAGGCGATCTTCTGGTCTTTGGTTTCTTTTGAATAGTATGTAGAATAGTATGTAGAGATAAACAGCATCTACATGCTATTCAAAAGAGACCAAAGACCAGAAGATCGTCTCACCAGCAATCAATCACCAACAATCATCACCAGCAATCATCACCCAGATAAGCAAAGGTTACCACCGGGCACACAAGCAGCAAACACATGCCAATCAAAGAACTATCAGAGGAGCAAAACAAAATCCCCACCCTTACCAGCAATGGCAAGGCAGGCCACAGCACATAAATAGCAAACCCCAACCCAATTTAGCACTGAAGATGTTACCTAGCCGGGTAATGAAACGTTTGCAAGAAAGGAACCAAGCTCAGAGAACCCCAAGGACTCCACCGTTCAGCCCTGAGCTACACATATTCACCTCTATTGTACCTGAACCTTTCTTACTATTTTCCTTCTGCATTGCAGGGGGAGATCTCTAGGAGCAATCCCCAAAGCTACAAACCATAAAAAGGTTTGTTCCTTCCTCCTTTTCTGACAGTCACTGTCCTATTATCAGTTTTTCTTCTCCCCTATCTCCAGTTTTCTGCCTGATAAGCTAGTAAATAGCATGGGCTGCTGTGGGCAAGCCCATTTTTATTTTCTCCAGAGAAGGTAAAAATAGGCTATTAGAGTCCAAAAAGTCTCCCACAAGAATCCCATGTATCATACAGAAAACCCAGCCTTCTTCCTCTTCCTACAACCCTTCTATCCTCTGATATCCAGTTATTTAGGGGATAAGGCCTAAAGCTATTTCTATTCGCCGTTTTTCTCTTTTTGGCACTTCATTATCAACAGCCTTGGTTAGTACGCCAACTCTAGCTTCCTAGAGCATAGTTTTCAAAAACTCTTTTCTCCAATGGCTAAGCAGTTTTGGAAGGACAACTGAACTCAGCCTTCCTGATGATCCACTACTTTCCTGCAGTATTTCCCCATATTTATGGTCCCCTAATCAAGTGCTCACGAAACAACTGTTAAAAATGCAGGGACTTGTTCCGAGCCTGCATATTTCAATGGGCCTACAGATGTGTCAGAAACTGAGTCTGGCTGAATGCCAGGAAGTCCCACGTCATTGGCCTTAAGAAGCTGCAGCTTGTGAAATACGTGGTGGGCATTACCCTGGGGGAAGAAGGCATACCATTGTTACAGTGCGCAGAGCCCCGGCCAGCAGACAGAAGGTGGCTTCAGCATGTACCTGTAGAAAGGTGAAGGGTGTGTTCCCTTTGCTGGGTGTGTTCAAGCCATTTGCCTTGGTTGGTCTGATTTAGATTCCTGCACTAAGCAGAAGGTTGAACTCAGTGGGCTTAAAGACACCTTCCAAGGCTGTGATTCTATGCTTTCCTTGTCCACCCTTCCACAATCTGGTGTCTTCTAGAATTGTGAAGTCTTCCAGATATTGGTGGGGAATTCTGGAAATTTATGAGTCCCAACACATCCAGAAGCACTGACGCCCCTGAGTTCTCAATCAGGATTTAATATTTCCAATCCTTCTACAAGGCACCAGCTTGGGGGAAGTTGCAGGAGCTAGTACAGATTGTTCAACTTGTCGTTTTCAGGCAATTTTCAGGACTCACAAAGAGCTTAGATGGACTTAAATGGACTTTTGGTTGGCCAGAACAGCCAATTTTAAAGCAAATTATGAGGATTAAACAGCTTTTACCTTATTGGCACATTGTTCTTTCTCAATTCTCCTGGGCTGCTCTGTTTTTTATATTGTTGTAATAAATATTGGGAAAAGTTGGGGAAGAATGAGGAGAGGAACACAGGCATTCTCACAAGGTGGCTTTTTGACAACACTCCCATGCAACCCAAATCACAAAAAGCCCTGGACACAAGCTCAGGGATTTTCTTTAGAGTTGGCAAAGGTTTGGACATAACTCACCCCCACCTAACAGATAGCTTTGCCTGGCCAGGAGATGAATATCTCCACTCCATGTTCCTAGCCTTTCTAAGAAAGGATGTCCTTGTTAGGGATCCCTCTACTGCAGTGTTTCTCAGCCTTGGCAACTTTCAGATCTGTGGGCTTCAACTCCCAGAACTCCCTAGCCAGCAGTTGGGACAATTGGAACAGCAGTTGGGACAATTAACCCTCTGCTGAACCTCAAATAGTACCTCCACATGCCTCCTGCCCTTGCACCAAAGTCAAATCCTTACTTCTCAATCCTGAAGCCATGAGCTGTGCCTCTGCAATGGATCCTAGTCGGGAGCCATCAGGTTTCTGCCCTTCTTCCCATTTAGAGCTCTTAGGATTAAATCCAAAGAGCAGACCTATTCAGCCCAGTTTTTCCAAATGGATTTTTACAATCAGCAGGCATGCTGGCATCAGGTGGATTGAGAATGCATTCAGTGAGAAAGCCAGTAAGCTCTGCCTCTCGGTGCCTGCTTGTGAACTATATTTAACTCTTACTTGGCATTCTCTTCGCACTCTTGAAAGGCTCCTCTCTGGATTCCAGCGCTAGGTTGGGCAGCTCTGGGTAGAGTTTCCATTCTCATTTAATTAAGTGCTCTGCATCTTAAGAGGGTGATACTGCTGATTAGCATCCTCTTCCCAAAGCCTTTCATGAAGGAGAAAAGAAGGTTACTTGCTGGTAAACAGGCTTCTCCAATTTCATAATCTCTACAGAGACTTGTCACCCATCCTTGTAAAGAATTGTCCGTTCTATTAAAGAGAAAGAGGAGGCTATCAACTGACACCGTTGGGCCATCTTGTAGAGGGTTGCCCTGACTTTAGCTGCCTGAACACGGGAACTGAGCGTGCATAGCAAAGGTTCCAAATTTCAAAATACCCTCTTTTGAAGGGGTAAAGGAATAAGCTGCATTCCAGTTTGGGAGAACAGGCAGATCTAAACCCCAAGCTGTTTCACTGCAGAGCCACAAAAATATTAGGAATGAGTTAGGAACAGGGAAGACACGCACTGCCCTATATCTTAATGAGAAAAAAAAAGTTTGCACTTTTGAACTAATATATGAACCAAATGTTTGCCATCCTTTTCTGAATCTTGCAAGGCAGTTCTCCAATCAAAGAAATGCTTATATTTTCTCTTTGTAGTGGGTCAGCTTCCCATTCAATTTTATGGGCATGGAAAGAATCTCTAAATAAATAAATGAAGCCAGCAAGCTGAGTGGGGCGGGCATCAAGGGAGCTCTCCTTACCAACATGGGTTCCCCCATGCATCATGTTGTCACCCCAACTTCCACATGGCCACCAGCTTCACTCCCCAAGCCAGACTCTGCACAAACCTCCGTGTTACTGCAGACTAATGCTCTCTCCAGAGGACACTGAAGGAACAAATTCTTGGGTGCCATTTTTTGTTCTGCTTTTCACAATGATGGGTATAAATAAAGCAACTTTGCCGGAGGGAAGTTCAGAAGCCTGGCATAAGGACACCGCGGCGATCTGGGGATCTTGGAGCCACAAAGAAGGGGGGGGGGATCAGCAAGCCAAGAGTGGACAGGAATCCCCCCCCCCAAGGGAGAACCAGCCCATCCCCAGGTGCCACAAGACTCCAGCAACTCCGATGACAGAACAGAAGCTTTACTGTGTGATCAGTACCCCAGCCAAGCCAAAAGAAACTTGGTTAGGCTGCCTAAAAGAGCCAACAGGAGATCAACAGGAACCTTTCCATTCCTATTGTAGTTACAGCATAATTTGTTCAGAATTAGGTAATTTTCTATTACGGATTTAATTAATTAATTGCTACACTATGCATTAGCTATTAGCTATTCATCGCTACATTGTGCATCAGCTACACTGTGCATGGCCAATGCTGCATCGTGTGTTAGTGCATTGTGCACTGTGCTAATGCACAATGTAGCTTTTTGAAGGGAACTTTCAGATGCCATCGTCAGGGAATACGAGTGGTCTCTAGGTGGTCCTGCATGCCTTCACCTATGCAATAAGCCAGTCTTTACTTTTTTGTGAAACAGGTCCGTTGGCACCTGTCCCTAACCCCAGTCTTTCAGGCACCATCAAACCCATCCTTCCCAAGTCCTGGGATCCCCTTGGAGACCAGGGAAAATATATAGGTCTAGATGAAATTAGTATTTCTTAAAAAGTCAACCAGTGCAGCTCCCTGTGTGTTTTGGTGAGAAACAGTCATGCATGGGACGTTAGCAAAATGCAGAAGATGAATTCATTAGCAGCCCTTTATTTCCCCTTCCTGAGATTCTGTCTGCTCCCGCCTGATCTGGGGATTCCTCTCTCTCTTCTTTTCTTTAGCAACCTTTTTTGTCCCCGTAACAGAGATGTAAGCAAAGATCAGGTGGTGCTGATAACAGCACAGGGTTGCAGGAAGACAACAGCCAGCGAGAAAAGGAACAATAAGAGCCTAAAATGCGGGGGAGAGGGGGGAGTACCATGGAGTGGCAGCCCATGAAATGGGTGTGGGGAGAAGTCCTCCAGTGGGGACAGTTAGCAAAGAAAGGGGATCGTTTCAGAAAGAGCAGGAAAGGAGGGGAATTCTCTAAGAGTCCACGAACAAACGGTTGTTTGGCTCTGCTGCTTTGTAAGGCTTCTAAAGCACAGTCAATCACTTTCTTAAATGTTACCCTTAGGAAAGGGAAGAGGATCAATACAGAAGAGAGAAAGAAAAGAGGCCATTTTGTACCATCTTTTATCTGATGTCTGAGACAAAGTTTTCAAAACCGAGCGTAAAGAGAAGGGGGGCGGGGGACTTTAAGCTTTTGTCTTGTGCTTTCTCTCTCTCTGACACACACACACACACAGAAATCCCTATTTGTGCAAAATAACAACAACTCGGTGCTATGAGAGGGCTTGCTGCTGGAAAGTGCAAACAGTTCCACAGTACACCACCTTTCCTCCGACCTGTTTCTGTGATCTCCATTAGCCACATGGTGGCGAAAGAAAGAAAGAAAGAAAGAAAGAAAGAAAGAAAGAAAGAAAGAAAGAAAGAAAGAAAGAAAGTTCCCTTAGTAATTAGCCCTAACCTTCCCCAGTCTTCCAAAATATGGCTTTTTAGCAGCGGCTGTTGGAGAGCGTAAGCCTTCTTGCACAATTCACCTTTTTCTCATTCCTGCTGAACTGTGTAGGTGGCGTTATTGTCAGACGGTGAAACCCTCACAATTGAAAGAGATGAACCAGGCGGCTGAGAGGAGGTTGGGAAGGGAAGCCAGCATAATGTGATGAGCCCAGGAACAACAGATGGGCGGGACGGGGAAGCAGTATCAACGTCACATTTCTGAACAAATTCAGGAATTCATTTTTTCTGGAGGGGAGGAAATGGGAGCAAATCGCTAGACCAAAGTGGTGTTTATAAAGATATGAACAAAGTCATAAAGCCCTACTCTGCCCACCAAAAAGGCAAAATAGGGACAGTACAGAATGCTTTCCACCATAGGCAAATGCTGCTTGAAGG